CTTTTTTTCTAGGTACACTTCTCAATGCATATTAACAAAATAGTCCAGAAATAATCAAATGGTAATGGAGATTTCAGTCCAATAAACAAAATATTCGTACATCAACAATTTGATTCAATTAAATTTCTTTTGCATGTATCCTTTAAACTCTTAAGTTAAATAATAATACAGTAAATCCATTTCCTGGTATATTTTATTTAAAAATATATGTACCATTTTGAATGATGTTTTTATGGACTTTATTGAAAAAATATTTAAAACTACATAGTCATTTAATGAAATTTAATAAAAATTTGTTTATAATGCTCAACATAAAAACGGTAACATTTATGTAGCTCTCATAGCAATGTGGCTGAACGACATGACTCACGCATAAACAAGTGTTAATCACAAATAAAGTAGTATTGCCGGAAATTCGATAGTTGAACTTTTCCTAGCTAGAAAGTGACAAGACATTTGGTGTAGGGAAATGTTTCCAAGCTTCTGGATATAGTAAATGTCGCTGTCGAATCATGCACTCAGCAATCACATACTTCTTCATCATCTCGAACCCATTTGGCTTCCCCCTCCATATTCTCTATCCCCAATGCCATTTGACGCAATGATTCCATTAGTGACTACGTAATAAACGTGAAATGAATCTTAGTCAAATATATGAAATAATTCATCTGTAGGAAAGAGAATGTCAAAATATGTGTGTACATTTCGTAAGTGCAAAGTGTTGTCATATCTTACACTTGTTCTGTGCATTGTACAAAACTAAACAAATCATATAACTTAGATATAATTTTTAATTATAGGTAGGTATTTTATTGACAAAATCGTATGGACATTTGTAGGTGAAGATCACCGTAACCTTCAATTTAAAGGTCTATTAAAGCTCACAAAAAATCTGATAAACATATAATCACTTACGTTCAGCTGAACATGCATTTTTTTCAAATCTTTATTCAAAAACAGATATAGATGTAACATTCAAGACCTTAATTGATAATTCCATAACGAAGATTTAAAAGGATAAATATAATGATTGTAAATAAACAAAATATGACCAAGTAACACATATCTGCTGATTCAGTTGATTCATATTAACATTCGTAGTGTTGTAGCAAATTCATATTAATAAGCCGATAGTCCCTTTTTGTATGTGATAGTAGAGATAATATGTGTGTAGTTTTTTTTTAAGCTTTGAAATATTGTTATTAGAAGAAAGCATAGATTTGGAAAGTATAAGCGATTTATTGCTAGAAAGTAGAAAGATGAATTAAACAACGACTTTAGTGGTAATTGTCTTGTAATGGTTTCTTGTAACGTTAACATTTTTATCGCTAGAGAGTGGAATGTAGGTTTTCGGATATGTTACATGTGCATTCATATTTATTGTTCTTTCGAGTATTCACCGATTTATCCTTTATCATCATCACCGTTTGTGCTAACGTCAACACGGATTTTAATAATTGACCATTATTCTGCGTCACTTGTGTTTGTGAAGTAGGCCTATCGGCCACTCAGACAACTTCATCCCTTTTTAGATAGCAAACCCTAATATACATAGCATAAGATAGTGTTAAGAATCGATTTCCCAGAAAATGTAGCAATTGGTAACTCTTCAAATTAATGCAAAGGGTTTTAATTAAATTTAAAACACTGATTACAATTTCTTAATATATTAAGTCGTAAAAAATAAGAGTTGTAAATGGCAGTAAAACATGCTACTAAAGTGTTGGTAAGATCAAAGTCGTGTTTTAAAATAAAATATACTTCAACTAATTATTGAATTTAAAGTAATTTTATAAAGACAAATTTTCTAGCTAAAGACAGTTGGTTGATATTTTTTTCGGATGGGGGAAGATAGATAGTTTTTTTTCCTGTGGGAGCCGGATAGTTTGGGTGTAATGGCTTGTCTTTTAATCACCAATATAGAAACAAATATTGGTCCAATCTGGAACGTACTTCCGTGCTGGTTTAGTCCCCAACTAGCGTAACTGTACTTAATTATAGCTGGGGTCTTGTGGTACAGTTAGTTGGACAGCTTTTAAATCTGTTTGTAAATCGTTCTAGAGTCTCTGGACAAAACAATACTTTTGTAAGAACCTGACACAAACAATTATATAATTTGCACCAAAAATAATTTGTTTTAATTCCATCCAATTAATTATAGGTGGCTTATTGGTGGCAAAATACCCAATTAATAACTAAAAAAAAAACACTAAGAGGTACCTAGACCACTTGTCATGTTGCAGAGGCTACACATTTTACTGAAATAAATTTCTTAAATCATATTTCATCAATAGAATGATTCATAAACATTCAGGTAACATGGTTATTTTAGTGCAAAATATTACATTATGCATGAGCTTCTTGCTAAGCTAGAGGAAAGCGAGCACGAACCTTCGGGTGAATAAAATAACTGTTTAATATTCATTGTTGTTTCATTGTTTTTTGCCTGTTAAAGACATTTTGAAAGTATTGTGTTAAGTATTTTATTTGCTGTTTATTTTTCTGTTTAACATTTTTTATTATTACGACCACGATTAACAATAAATTTTAAATTGTTGACAGGTGTTTAATATCTACTCGTTGGCATAAACGCAAACCGAATAACACTTTTAAAGCAGTACAAAGGAGCAACAGAGTCACTTGACAGTAACAGGTATTTTAACCTCCATACAACACTTTAAAGCACTAATAACAATTTGACATACACAACTCAAACTATGGTCTACAGTTAATTTGTACTAGGCGGGCTAAATTATCATTAAACATCTTACCAAACACCTTAATAAATATATTTCTTACAATTAAAGCCATGTTAATGTAAGAGTGTGTTTTTAATTAGGTGGAACGTAAACGAAACCCACTGTTACAATAAAAATCAAAATGTAATTTGTATGAGAACCTACAACATAACCGACCGTTGTTTAGATTTACATACTTATTACATCTTATGCTGACAGAGCCTCCTACTTAAGTCGATTTAAACATTCAAGATATTACTTCAATCAGTTTAGTTTAACATACATCTTCTGTCACCTCTGACCCCGTCACCCACGCGTCTGTCACCTCGCAGACTCTCACGCCCACAGTTTTGGCTCTGACTCAGATTTTAGCAAACAATACTGGTTATCGAATCACAGCCTACAATAGAAAGTAACTCCCTTCAATGGTGAATTCGTGGCTTTGTTCGTTCTTCCACACCATAATTGTTTGTTTGTGATTGAACATTCGAATATTTGATCTGTTGAATTGTGTACATAAATTATGTTTGTTTGGATTAATTTATAATAGTGCTAATTCAGATTAGGTAAATATTTAATAAAAAAAATAATTGTAAACTATTCCCTCCATTCAAATAAAACATAATTATACTTGATTTTATTTTTTCCTTAAATAATCACAATAAAGCAATATGTAAAAAATAGTTAGTAATAATCAGTAAATTTACCTAAAATAATAAGAACTGACAAAACTAACTTGAACAGAATGTTAAATGTAACTCCAGCTCTAAAATGCGTAACTTTTATATTTAATAGTATGATTCAACACTAGGGCAAAAAGAGATTCTTTTTGACCAGAGTTAAAGCGATCGAGGTGAAGCCGAGGTTCCGAAATTAGCGAGGGTTGAAAGGAAATTTTTCCCCATGTGATGAACTTTATCTTTCGTCATACAATATTGCACCATTTTATGCGAACTAAGTTAGAAAACTACAAACTTTTAATATGAAGATAACCTTTTGAAACAACCTCTAACTTGTCTTAAATTCAGCTGATGCCAACAAACAGCTGTTTAGTAAGTGATTTCATTAATTTTAACTACCACAATTTTGATTGTACATTATACCATTGATATGTAAATGTAAAATATGTAAAACTGAAGAAGGCAACAATAAGCTACCACCGATTAAAAAGAGCGATACATACTTTAAAACACACCATCTTACAATCGACAATCCTACAATATAAATTACAACTGAGATTACAACAACTGATTTTCGTAGCTTTGAAATGCAAGTATAATATCGTTTTATTTTTTTTTTCATGCCCCTCAAGGTAGGGTTCATTGGCAACGTCGACTGATATTTGACTCATTCTCAGGATATGCCTCAGATAAAATAACGATCGAAAATCGCATTTAGTCGTAACAAAGTTGTGTTCGATAGAAGTTCAGGAGAATCGTTGGGGTGATATTTTAGGAGGACAAGAGCTAGGTATCACTCTTATTTACCATTTTGGTGTTCAACTTAATAAATCAAATATTTTATGCACTATTGGGTCATAATGATTCATACAGATATGTATTTACTAAATTTCAAATATGAACAATTTATGTCCTTCAAAAGCCTAGATTATAAATATATTAAACATTGACAGCCATACGGAAACCAAATACATACATTTTAAGTACAATTACCACGTGTAATTAATTCTATGTAGCATACTAGAATGCTACATAGAACATGCTAGACGACGGTGTTTTTAATCTCTTTAGAATTTTTTGGGTGTTTTGAAAACGAATTCCTACAATATCTCAGTATTCTGTGCCATATTTTTATCGGCGTCGTGTGCTTTAGTTTTTTAATAGCTATCCGTGTCTACATTATGCAATGTTGTAATTCTATTGATGTTGTTATTAAGCAAAAACTATAGCTTTAAATTATAAATGTGTCCTCACTAAATTACAAAATATGCTGGGATAAATTAATAGATTAAAAATTTTAAAAAACAATTAACCTCTAAAATTGTATTCCTTAACCTTATGAACATAGGTTCTTGCTGGTATCATACCCAGGATATGTGAATTATATTTTTAAATATCGGCTGATTGCCCTATATCAGATACAATATCGGTTGATAGCCATTCTTGCAGACAATTTGCATTTCAAATGCACTGATGTAATTGAGGTGGGTCTTATTTTGGTGGGAGATGTGCAGGTACTTTCTCCCACCCCGCGAAACTAAAGCTCCCCCCGACCAGAGCGATTTAAATTGTTCACTTGCAGTGTTGATGGATCACGTATATATACGGATGCTGGGCTGCGCCTCCACGTATTCCACTTCTATCCTTGCCATCGCCATGAGGACCTTGGTGAGTACCAGAACTTTCATCATTTTATGGGGTTTTAATTTCACTTTTTGTTTTTAACATGGTTAGTTTTACAGTTTAAAAATATATTAGAAACATACTAGCATTTTAGGTTTGTTTATACTCCAATTATTTGTTTATCATTGTTTATTTTGGTTTAAAAATACTATTTGGATTTAGTATTTAATTAATATTGTTTGACATTGTGTGTAAAATTATGACTTATTTTGGAGGAATACATTTTTATTTAACAACAAAACGTTGCATATCGTGACATGCATAATTTAAAATCTGTCTTCGGTTTAATACAAGCTATCTTGTTTTATTGAGCAATAAATTTACATTTATATGTTTATTTCACCCACATATAAGAATATAATTATTTATGACAGTACGTTAAAAACATACAATCCCTTTCGTATTCATTTATAGCAACGATCATACCGTTACAAAACATTTACCACTCAACAATTGTCATAACCAAGAACCATGCCCATATTATTTATACATTACAATTTTGACATTGAGATTTAAAGTGGGTTCCTATAGACATGTTATTGGTCTGTGAACAACTTTAAAATGTAGGCTTAGTAATGCATTTTCTTTACTACAACAAAACAGACTTCCAATAGTATATAGCAAATGGAGCTAATAGTAACTTGAAATTTACCACTCTCTTTATTTATTTAATTAATTATTGTGATAATCAGATGCCTGGTAAACGAAAGCAAAGAAAGTTAGTTAGTGAAGTCAAGGTGATTATGAAAAGTCATCGACCGGTATCGTGGTATCAATGGCCTCCAATCTCCCATACTGTATATCTTTTTGCAAATACATAACAATTATAGCATTTCATTTCCATTCAATGATGTGTCAAAAAATAACTTCGATAGCATGATTGGTATTTTAATAAAGACGAACAAGGTAATTATAGAATAGTAGCTCTTTTAAGACTAATTAGCCCTTCTAGTACGTTTTATCTTACGACCATTACAACTGAATTGAGTTATTATTAAGTGATATGTGTATTACGCTCACAATTCTAAGTCCAATTTTTCATTTTCGTTTGTGCCTCAACTCCTTCATAATGCTTTATTGGGTAACACCTTTGAACTTATAATATCAACCCCCCTAAACTAAAAAGAGCATTTCTATTTGAACATGATTACTGTGTATCTACGAAAAATATTATTTTATCAGTGATAGTATTTTTGCAAATTTATGTGCTTGAACAGAAATGTATTGTCCCCTTCATGTACAATGTATTGAGTTGCTCTATCATAGCTAGAGCTATTGGTGACCCAAAAACTGTATTAGTTCACAAAAATAAAATAGAAACAATGAAAAAATCCTAAATCTTTATTAACATTGGATCTATGGTTAGGAAGCCTGTGAAAAACATCCCAGGCTCGTGCCTAGCGTCTTAGGACAGAAAATTATTAGGAAGCCTAATTCTTCATTTCGAGAATAGTTATAATTATTTGAACTACAATGCTTTATGAAACGGGTGTTATCTTTTTGAGTAAATAATCGTATAGGCGGAGTAGTGACATTCCGGCGCTACCACAGATAAAATACTCTTTCTATGTACTTTATTTACTTTATTAGACATGGTTTATCTGCGCAATGGCCAAAGTCAGATCTAAAAATAAACTTGTGTCCGTCCCAAGAGACAGATGCTAGTTGCATCAAGCATGTCAGTGGTCCAACGAGTTGTAGTTGTAGTTGCACAACTAGTAGGCACGTCGGTAACTACCAGTAGGCATCAGAGGCATCTTCGGTCACCAGTGAAAGTTTACCAACCTTGACTCCTACTTCCTTATAGTTAAGCACCTGCCTGGGTCACTGACTCACTGACGTGCTGGTCACTGAGGAAATCTGGTCTAATGGTAGAACGGAATTATCTATGTATGGTAGGAATATACTGATCCAATACACAATGCAAATATCGAAATGGAAGAAAGTTGATGAATCAAGAGATTGTAGATCCATAGGCCTATGTATAATTGTGCTCCGTCAGTATATAAAAAGGTAGCAAGAAGCAGAGCTCTCATACTTCACCAAGAGAGAAGCGTAAGTGGTTTGAAATAAGTATTGCTTCTCTTAATCTCACTAAATTCTGGATAGGAAAAATTTGTCAACCGGAGCACCACAAAAGTTATTAGAAAATTAACTACTGTAACAAATGTACATAACCTGGAACCAGAGATAAATTATTATTTATTATTGCGTAAAACATATTGTAAAACTGAACTTTATACATTATATTACTTTCTTTTACTTTCTTTAACACCTGGACACGACTAGGTATCCGTGGAATAGCCGTGGCTTCTGTGGTATTATAATTTCATTTGTATGAAAATGGAAGAGGAAAAACTTAAAGAATTGGCAATTTTTTGTGTTTTTCTTTACTTTACTGTATTAGGGTACATCACTTTATTTAATCAAATATAAAGGCTCCCAAGTTTTTTTACGCGTGTATATGTGATTTAAGGAAAATGTCTACTAGTAAATAACTATATTGATTATCATTAAACCCTTTTTGTAATATTTTACGGATATCATAAAATGCATACATTTTGACCCTATCTAAAGCACTTAGTTTTACTTTCAATGAAAAGTATTAGAGTATCGTAAGCCCTTAAAAATATTACGATACTAAATTTTCTATTGTGTCCTAATCTTCAACAGGTCCAATCCAAGAACACTCTTAAGATATATTTACACAAATATACTGAACAAATGTTGAAAGACAATAAATGTATTCGTAGGATCCAAGTAAGTAAAATATTGTGTTTTCCTGTAGCAATATTTAACGAGGCATCCCGTTTTATGGTACCAAAAGCCACTGTCAAATTTATAACCAAAGCTTGAAGCTTGATACCGAGATGATTAGTCTAAACAGTTCTCATTACTCAAACTCGCAAATTCCACGCAATTATACCAAAAGACGGGACCAGCTTGTGGTATAATGGTATCATTAACCTTATACCACGACTGACGCAAACAGAGGTGGCACGACACTAAATGGCACGGATGGCACGCCCGTCTGGCGTGGGATGGTAAATGGTAAAGGGTAGACCGAGCTCCTCACGAATACTGCAGACAACATCTAGTTATTGTAAACACTGTTTCGCCACCTCCTTGGACAAATTTGCTAAACGTTGCTAAACACCTTGCCCCACCCGGCGAGACGTTGCGAATGGCGGGGAAGTGGGGGATTTATGGCGGGAAATGCTTTCAGAATATCCGCGCAAATATGAGACTTCCTCGGTAGAATGTGCAGAGTGCAGGACAGGGCGTGGTAAAGGTATACTTTTTACCCCTAAAGTAAAGTGATTTGCATTCTCCCGAACATTATCTTCATTGAAATCCTGTTCCTTTCCCTAATTCCACGGTGGCAACATTAAACGTTTAAATTAATTTTAAGAAAAAAAAAATGCTACGATAACATTGTGGGGACGTTAACATTAAGAAATCATTACACATGTCTGTTTTGATGTAAATAAAAAATATTTTAAGCATAACAGGTATACAATGCGTTTATACTTTAAAAATATGATTTGCTTTGAAAATTATTGTTTTAAATTAGTCAATTTCTTTACAAAATACACCGTTTGCAAAAATAAAGAACATGTAAACAAACCATTATAGAACGAGGTCTGTTAGCAGTTCCTTAAGGGTTTGAATCAAATTGTAAGGGAAAATACAAACACAAACAACAGAACTTATTTAAAACACTCCGGGCATTAACTTGACGCTATTCTGTAGAACCAATTCAAAACATTGTTCGGGGGTTAGTGGTTAGAGAATGATTTTAAAAGCCACATTGAAAAAGGAGAATGGATCATCATACCTTGGAATCTGTATAATTTCCTTTATTAAACTAAAACCTGAAACGTGTAGGCTTAAGATTTATGAAAAGGAAAATTATACAATGAAATACAATAATTCGTTTAACTTTTACATTGCGGTATAACTTTTTATAACAAGAAAAAATTTGATTTGATACTACTTAACAACCTTCGTGCTGTCGTAAGACGGATGTTAGGCACTAAACCAAATCATCCTACCTATATTGCGCTGAACGCATCTCTACCAGGTTCATTTACTTCTAGTTTAACAAACCATCGTGGTTTGAATCAATTTAGCTAAAACCCCAATTACCTCCTCCTTTGTACCGTGAAAATCACAGACCGTCTAGCCACGGTATTGCAACCCTGACATTACCCGTTCCAACTCAGTAACCGCGACGAGGGAACTAGTTACTCGAGAGGAACCGCTCCAGTCAGCGAAACAGCTTAATCCATCTTTAAGCAGGATTTAAATAGTGATACACTATCGCGTTGTAATGATGAGGAAGCTACTCAGAGAAAGTGAGAGAGAGTCACGAATGTGTCTCATCGAGAAGTTATGTGGGCGTGTTAGTGTAACTCTGATGTGGTTCATCCGTCACTGAAGATGTGTCATGTGGGCTTCCGGAGTGGCGTGAAAAGTAACTTTGTGAGAAATGTAAGACGTTTCAACAGTACACTGCAATGGTCTTTTGTAGCAGTAATTCACTGATCAAAATTATACTTTTTATTCAGATGAGTTTGTGATGCTCTTGATCAATTGGATTTTACAAGGAGTATCACGTGTGAATTACTTTTATTTCTTTATTTAAGATAAAACACGAACATTTTGGAACTCTAAGAAGAATTAATTTTAAGATATTTTTTCAGTTTGGACAGTTTATCTAGACCTTTTCTCAAGGCAATTATTTGGGATATTTATTAAGATTCCTTTTTGCCCAGTTTGACCAATGACAGTGAGTAATAGTCACAATCAAAAAAATCCATGTTTATGGTACTACTTAAATATATTAAATATGTTATTCTAGTTCTCTCATAAGTATACTATAGTTCGGCCGCTTAGAAAGCGACCTCTTCTAGCATTGGTTTAGCATTAGCGCGCAGGTCGTTTTCTAAGCGGCCGAACTATAGTTACTGTTCTCTATATATTTGTTTCTGATATAGATTTTAGCGTGCCATTATTTGTGTCAATAAGTCTTCAAGCCTTCCATAATCCCAATCGGAATTTATTATTTTTTTATGTGCCGTATACACAATTGCTATGATATTTCCTCTAACATTAGGTCAACTCAAAACATTGTAGCAACGCTTCTCACATTAAAAACCTGAAATTTAAATAATGTTCACATATTGCAGGTGGTGCTAGTCGTATGCCTGTGTGGTTTGGTGTCCAGTCAGAGGAGGATAGCAAAGCCCATCCCTCTAGGGTTCAACCCCAAACCCTACTCCCCCCAGTACTCCCCCAAGCCTACTGCTTCTTCTCCAGTCCAGTATGACAACAACCCAGTCCCTGGACAACAGTATGATCCAGCCTACAACGCCGTGCCTTACTCTTCCCCCGCTCCCTTCAGCGTATCTTCCGGAGCTCCCTTTAAGAGCTATCAGGTACTTTTTTTCTTAACTATGACTTGACTAAGCGCAAATAATTTTTTGTTAACTGTATACTGTTATTTGTGAGCGTTGTCCACAAAAATAGTTTTATGAGAAATAAATATTGTAAAAATATAAATATAAAATCAAACGTTTTAACCTATTTTAAAACGTATTTGAAACGTATTTTAAAATGTTTATTTCCCTGGAAAAAGTAACAAATGGGTAGGGAATAAGGAACACATTACACTTGTTAAATAAGATACAACAGAATTGATAGGGATTTTCTAAATATAGAAAACAGTCAATGAAATATTACTTATAAGCTTAAAATTAAGCTTAAGAGCTCACTTGGCGTATCTCTAAACCTATATTTTCTACAGTATTTATGTTGACGTTTCTTTTTTTTACAGATAAAATTTTGCAGTTTACTTTAGTAATGAAAAGTATTCATGAATATCTTACATTTGTAATCGAAAAAAACCTGTTTACAGCAGGAGAGTGGTCGCAACGACTTAACCACTCCCATCCCTATCATCCGCTTTGACAAGGAGCAAAGCATAGATGGAAGCTACAAGGCTAGGTAACAAGTATTTCATTTGTATAAGTACGTTAAACAGAGGTTTCAATCTACTTGTTTGGTAGTTTAAGAAGCGTTTGCAATACCGATGAGTAGTTAATTCAATGATGTAACATAGGATACCTGCATGTCGGCGTTAAGTAGATCTATTTTAGTTCAGTTAAAGTTAGATTCATTCAAGGTACGCCGTAACTTCACGGCGCTCCCAGCGGTGGAGGCCAGAACTTCTACTAACCACAGCATGACTGCCGGTCTATATTTAATTCTCTTTGGCGATGTTATTACCATTGTCTATACACAGAATAGACTTCCCATGAAATGTAAAAATTTGAAGCCAAGAAAATATCAGGACCATCTCACCAGAAAGAATAATGGGTTAAATATGAATTAAAATCAATGCAGTATCATAGCAAACAGCTGATTGATGCATCACATGAGACAGGATATTGTCATTAGTTTGTAGACCAGCTAAACAGATCGCACCACGTTTTTTTGTTTTTTTCTGCTTCAAACTTTTAGATTACATGGCAGTCTATTCTTTTTATAGTGAATGGTATTACAATTTGTTATGGTCATTATAGGCTTTATTAGTGTTTCAGTAAATCTATGTAAATAAAATTAGAGTTTTGTCTGTACATTGCTAAGAATCCTAATTTTTTAGGTTATTTTTACGTTTTAGACATTAAAGAAACCGAAACAAGTCTCATCTAAATTTCTGTCTGTCTGTCTGTCTGTCTTCCTGTCTGTCACGGCCCAAGAGCCATTTTACGCGGCCTACTCCTGAAAAACGAGAGCACCTATCAAGTTTCAAATCATTTTAATGTATTAACTGGATTGGCGAGATTGTCTTTAGCCATAAAAATATGGCGTCACTACTTTGTAAATAAAATGACGGACGTTTAAAAACCCAATTTTGTGCGATTTTTTGTAAAGTTTTCCCAATGTTTATCACATATTTATCTATGAAATAACGAACAGCTGTTCGAATCAAGATTATTTCTTCTAGCTGTCACTGATATGTTTACATTGAATGTTGTTTACAAATACCGCAACCATTTCCGATCACGTTTTGAAAGCAAATCCAAACCAAGTAAGATTAATAACGTTTTTCCTTACATAACGGATTTAATTAATCGCAAGTGCAATAATTTGTAGGGTATCCGTAAATGAAAATATAGATTCTTTGTGTATAAAATTGTTCTTGAGTTTTGATAACCGGGAAAAAGACCTTGAATCAGTGTTGTATATGGCTGGGAAACTTACATTTTTTAAATGAATCTTGGGGTTAGATATTTAGAGTTATAGTGAAAAGAGAGGAAACATTTTTTAATACTTTGATAGGGAGAAAAATCACTACAAGTCAGTACAACAATCAAATACAACAAATCAGTACAACAGTTTTATATTTCTTCAACATGAACACAGAACAATAAAAACCAACAATAATACAAAAACACATGTTAATATTCTTAAATCCCAAAACATGTGTTGGAGCCTAATGGTACAAATATTTAAATGTCAAACGTTTTATGTCTTGGGGACAGACTAAGGGCAAAATTAATCAATAGAACACTTAACAGGATGTATAATTAAAATGACAAATTTGAATGAAAATTGCCATCTGGTCTTACTATTAATCAGATAATCATTGTATAATTTGTCCATGTTTAGCTACGAGACCGGCAACAACATAGTCGCTGAAGAGACCGGGTTCCTGAAGAACGTGGGTGTAAAGGACCAAGAGGCGCTGGTGCAGCACGGCAGTTACTCCTACACGTCCCCGGACGGCCAGCTGATCACAGTACACTACACAGCGGACGAGGGTGGATTCCGAGCCGAGGGGGCGCACCTGCCCACACCTCCTCCGGTACCTGAAGAGATACAGAAGAGCCTGGACCTCATCTACGAGGGCATCAGGCTCCAGCGGGTAATATTATTGAGAAAGCTTCGAAATAAGCCATGAGATGTTCATGTTGTTTTATTTTCAAAGAAGCTATTTTGAAGGCAAGGAACGACTTTGACCCGGGACCGATTTACGTTTTTTATTTTAACGCCCTAAGAGGCCAAAAACAATATTGGTTCAAATATTATGTATGTACGAGGGGAGACCCATTCTAAGAGTGCGGTTCTGAAGAAGAGATTAGCACACTAAGATAATTGATATATGGGAGTTGCTTAAGCTACCTAATACGAAATATATACGTATTACGTATAACATACCTACCATTAGGCACTATTCCATTATACATTTTATGGTCACTAAACATGATCTTATTTTTATAGTTCGAGGGGTTATAAGGTTAACCACTATGGTATTTAGAAATGTCTACATAAGGAAATTATTGAGTCAAATAACAACAAACCAGAAAATATAAAAAGTATATGAAAACCCGTATAGTAAAAACAAATCTTCATTTTAATTGTGCCAATGAAAAATAAACAGAAATATAATTAATTGTGAAAGTATTTAAACCAACTTATTATTTTCAATTGCAGGAAGCAGCTAAGAATGACCCTAAGCTGTACAAAGAGTTCCAAGAACAGGAACAAGGATTTGCAGACAACTATCCTCAGAACTTCAGGAGATAGTCTCCTACACTCGCTATCCATGTTGACTGTTATTTTGTGTAAATATTATAAATAATAAATGTACAAAGTTTTTGCCAACTTTGTAAAATTCATTACCCGTATTCTCTTTTAAAAGTATATCTTAATGGTTTGAAATAGTTTTACGTACGTTAAATGTCAATTATTTAATTTACATTGATTTAGAACAAATCACAAATAATTTCAAAATAGTGGATGCAAGCTTTTACTATACATCACTAATTGCTATGTAGCAATTAATAAGCAATCAATACCATTGCTTCAAAACATTGTAAACTGTTGTGTAAACACTACGGGTACCACAAATTGTGTCTCAGAAATAATTATATTTATATTGAACCTTTCATTTTGGACTTATACTGAAGTTTATGTTGATTTTGTTACATACATGGAAAATGGTGGTTAACATTTACTACAATTGTCCAACGATACTCCTAGTTAAATATCTCCTTATTGATATGATTAATTTGTGAAGTTAAAAAAATTTTCCACAAGTTTCCCAACGTTAATCCTAGTTAAGAAAACTCCTTTTTTGATAGATCAATTCAGGATGTGTGCAATTTAAGATTTATTTATTGATTTACATCTGAGTCCATTTGAGTACCTTCCAAAAATTGACGTTTATAAGGTATTAACTAAGAAAATTCTATATTATGGTCTGAATAAATAAATACTACCAAATTATAAATAAACATCACTTATCATAAAACATCGGGAACTCTTTGTGTAGCCTTATTTTAAAAATGGTTGAGATGAATGAAAAAAACATTATTTTAAGTAATAAAATACACTTGTTTCATAAAAAACCATATTTTATTGAATACCATATTTAAAACTATATTATTTGATCAATTCATAATTTAATTTAATGTTAAAATTGGCGTCTTTCATTCTACTAACTTAAACATGATTCAGACAATTTACTTTAAATGTAGTTTTAAGTATTTTTGTTTGTTCAAAATTAAGCTTGTAACAGTAGACATGTAAACGATTTAATTTTCTGAATAGAAAATTAGTTTTTAAATTGGGAGTAAACACGTTTTGTCCTAAAGAATTGGGGCCACAATGAAACTGTTTTGACAAATTAGTAAAGGTTCTATTGGATTACCAAATGAAAATGTTGTATATTTAATAAACATAATAAATAAGAAAACATCCCTGATTCAATACTTTCTCTTAAATCAAAATATTTTCTGAGATACAGCTTGTAGCACAGTTGAACTATTAAAATTCATATTACTGTATTATGAGTAAGTGAATGCTTACACAGTTCTATGAATTCGTAAAAAAAAATCAATACAATAAAAATCCACCTAAGACTTTGCTTACTTGTGGAACTTGGCAAGTGCCTACTGATGTAGCACTTACAGGGTTTTAGGCTTTGCCTATAATTATCTCAACAACAACAGTGTAATTGTAAATTAAACACTGCATGCAATAAACATAAAAAAATGTCCCAACAAAAATACGTTCAGTGGTCGATAATTATGCGTTCACAAATACTATATGATTTATATTTTTGGTAATGTATAAATTTAAAAACTGTATTGCTAATTTATAATCTCACATTTTAGTAACCAAATCTACGCCCAAATATGATTTGTTTATCATGGTGATTTGTATATCTGTAGAATGAAATGGATTAATTTAATTAATTGTATGATGGTGTATTCATTAGAAGCGATGTGTAGCATACGTATCCATGCCTACTAAAACATAACAGTCAAGGGACGCATTTAAAAACCTAATGTTACGATAATCAGTTTGAGTAAAGTAATAATTAAATGCATTTTTTGTGTGTGTGATTTAAAGTGATTTAAATGTAATACAGTTATACATTAACTGGTTAATACTCGTTCCACTTATGGCTGGCTTTTAAGTTCATAATAATTGATTTTAATAGCAACAACAAAATGGACGAAATTACAAAATTTACACTGATTACTTATACTTTGTTAAATTTTTGATCATTCAATTCTACCTTACCAATAGCTGGATTGAACCAGGATATTTGATCAAAATAAGCTTTACATAGTATTTTTGTAATTTTCATTAGACCTACTTTTTCCACCGTAGGCCTACGAGTATAATATAGGTTTAATAAAGTTATACTGTGACTGTGTCATACTGTTAATCAAAATAAATAATGGAAGCTAGATAAGTTATAAATGCTATAGTTCGGCCGCTTAGAAAGCGACCTCCTCCAGCATTGGTTTAGCATTAGCGCGCAGGTCGTTTTCTAAGCGGCCGAACTTAGTTCGATAATCAAATATAAAGGGTGTAATGAAAATTATGTTTACAGAGGTTTAAAGGCACCACACTGATCTATTCTGTATCGTCACTATGAAATGAATAACACGTAAAGTATGTTGTGTTTATTATTAATTAGATCTAATAATTGTTAACCTAAATTTATCGCTTATTTCACATTTTAATTCTTTAATTCGTTTTAAATTTATAAAAATTTGTTTTTGATAAGAAGTTGGTTTTACCCTTTTACGTTACATGTAAATGGCAAATTAATTACATTTATTACAAAACTTGTTTACGAAATAAAACAATTTTCAATGAATCGTGAGAGATGATTTCCATCATCCAAATTATTTTTCCTTAGATTTATGAACATTGTTGCTGATGTGCTGATGTAATTCCTTGTATCCAAAAAATGTATATAGTTAGTTTTAGAAATAGCTAAAATTTTGATCAGTCAAGAAAATACCTTAGTTGGTTTACACAGAACAGCTCCTTCAAAAATAAACAGCAATGTTGATACTGTTGGGTATTCTGTACAGCGCTCATAGTTCAGTGCAGGCATTTGAAAATGAAGAGAGATGTCCAAATGATTATTTTTTTAGACATTAATTTGACTTCATTGCTTTAAAGGTCATGATGTTAAGTGATTTACGTTAAATAGTAAATGAAAACTTATTAATTTTTTGTTCGGTGTTTGTAACATATTTTTACCCTTTACTCTTGAATAACACAATCAATACATAAGAGAACTTCAATTGAACTGTGCAGTTTAAGTAACTTGTAAAGGACGCAAAAGAAAGTTCAATAATAGTGGTGGATTGGTGGTACTAATTTTAACATGTACCAAATAATTAAATAATAATTATCATAACCATCGTAAATGCTATACAATAGGTAATACGGTAGTCATGGATTTTATACAACAAACGTCAATGGCACAAACAAAATGGTAATAATACCCAAGGTATAAAGTCGATCGTATACATATCACCATACCGATGCCCTAGAGAGGTATCCTCAGACTTGGATTTGCCGGTCGCATCGGTGATGCTAAATCCGAACACAACTGTGACGAAGCTGACTTGATTGAAGGCGCTGAGAAAGACACATTTTGACGTTTTGACGTTGTTTAAACATACATAATATATATTGACTTCGTTAAAACTTTTTCAAATATTACACACAACTAAAACTTGTTGGCTTCGAAAATCGATTGTCATAGAACAAAGGGTGTTTAATGTAAATGACTATAAATAAAACTAAAACTTTTGTGCGATAATACTTAGGATAAAATAAAAATACTCATCTAAATATATTTTCAATTACGTAATCAATAAAGAGAATCAGTAAATATTTAGATTTTTATATAGTTTGCATTGCCTTGGAATAAAACGTGCTTGTAAAAATAATGTTTCAGTTTCTTAACGACCAATAGTTTATTGAACCAAACTGAGAGGATAACGTATTTAAACTATGAATGTTGTTACACCCTCGTTAGTAGAGGGATTTAGCGGCTCCGGCGGCAGTGAGCGTGAGTGAGCGTGTGAGCGTGTGACGTCACACGACGCCGCCCCCGCCCCCGCCCCACCCCCACCCCGACGCCACCCCACCCCCGGCGCCACCCCCCACCCCCGTCGCTAACCCCTACCACCATCGGGCAGGTTCAAGGTCATCCTTTGTTGTCTGGAACCACCCTTCGCATCGTGGGAGGTCTCCAAGCCAACCCTCCCTATACCATCACTCACTGTCAGCCGCAGCTGCTCCACAACACCTGCGCTCCAAGCGGCCCCCCGCTCCTCCCTTGTATTCTTTGTTCTCCGCATAGCGCACACTTATTTACCACCAATAGGATGTTAGCTTATTTTGACCAATCAGAGAACAGTATTTCACATATTTCAAATATTTTAACCGTTTTACCTGCCAGACTGTTTGAACGGCCAACCCAACCGAAAAAGTGGTAGGAATAGTGATGTAATAGACGTACACTATGAAAATAGCGTACATATGACACAAAATTGTAAGAAAAGTGTATTTTTTTCAAGTCCAATAGTTACTGTATTTTATTTTGCGGACTATGAAGACAGAAGATGCTACTCACATTTAGATAGTATTCGTTTTAAACTGAGAATAGAACAGACTGAAACATTATTACGTAAACCTATTCTGCTAAGGTTACAACATATAATAGAGTGTCAAAATGTAAACCACGAGTTATGTTTTAAAAAATTATTAAAATATTTTGTTGGCACACCTGCAGTGGCTTGCTCACCTCAACCCTAACTCATTGCACATCACGTAGCTTATTTTGACCAATCATAGAGCAGTATTTCACATATTTCAAATATTTTAACCGTTTTACCTGCCAGACTGTTTGAACGACCAACCCAACTGAGAAAGTGGTAGGAATATTGATGTAATAGACGTACACTATGAAAATAGCATACATATGACACAAAATTGTAAGAAAAGTGTATTTTTTCAAGTCCAATAGTTTAGTTTATTTTACATTGCGGACTATGAAGAGAGAAGATGCTACTCACATTTAGATAGTTTCGTTTTAAACTAAGAATAGAACAGACTGAAACATTATTACGTTAACATATTCTGCTAAGGTTACAACATATAATAGAGTGTTAAATGTAAACCACGAGTTATGTGGGAGGTCTCCAAGCCAACCCTTGCTCCTCCCGCTCACTCACGATCCTCCCGCTTACTCACGCTACCCCCACCCGCCCCAACACCAACCCCCCCACACTCACACCTCGACACCCCCACCGCCCAACGCCTCACCACTATGCCCCCACCCC